AAATTTTATCTCATATCTTGGGCCAAGGTGTGCTCTCCCAAATCTCAAGGGGTACTCGGTATCAGAAATCTCACGGTCATAAATTTGGCTTTGCTTAGAAAATGGTGGTGGCTCTTCGCCACACAGCCATACCACCTTTGGAAAGAGGTCTTATTCCATAAATATTGCCAAGACGACCATGTTTGAAACCAGTGGTGACCTTTCAGGCTTCCAGAGGTCCCTCTTACACTGCCACAACCTCTTCCTAGACAAAGTCCGCTATCGCCGCCCTAGATCTGGCGACAAAATCCTCTTTTGGTTGGACACTTGGGTAGGTGTTACCCCTCTTAAGGACGACTTCCCTTCTCTATACAGTATTACAGTTGATATCCTCTCTCCTCTGTAGCCGATAACTTTCCTACTTCTGGGCCAAAATTTCATCCCCCCCCTCTGTTGGGGTGGACAACATCATTTGGACTCCACATGCCTCTGGGGCCTTTTCAGTAGCCTCCTTTTACGACGCCATCTCCCTACCGCCCAACCCCTCTACTGTCCCCCCTCTATTGCGCCAAAAGCTTGGTTCATGGCCATACCTCCTATTCGGGCCATACCTCCTAAGATCCAGTTTTTCGGCTGGGTCACCCTCCACGACAGAGCCCTTATCTCGACCAGCTCCAAAACTGGGGACTTTCCCTACCCAATAGATGTGTGATGTGCTTGAGGGCCGAAGAGACGAATGCTCATCTGTTCATTCATTTTGAAGTAGCATCTGCCCTGTGGTCCCATGTTCTCCATATGTTCAGTTGGCATTGGGCTACTCCCCAATCGATCCCCAACTTTTCTCTTCTTACCTCCACACACTACCTCGGGTATATTTCTGTGGAGAGCATCCATTGCAGCAATTCTGTGGACCCTATGGCTTGAAAGGAATAGCTGTATATTCAGGGGGGAATCCTTCAGTATCCCTACCTTGATTAACAAATACCGCACCCTACTTTCCTTCTGGACAAGGAATCACACAAGACCTTCAGCACTTTCTCTTCAGCCGATCTCTTCCACAACTGGCACTGTCTCTTGAACCTCAGAGCCCAAAGGATATCTCGGTCTTTCTCTGTGGAGGCTGCCTAAAGATGCGTAAATTAAGGTCAATTTTGATGGTTGCTCTCTTGGCAGCCCAGGCTGCTCCGGCATTGGAGGCATCTTTAGAAATTATGCAGGCTCCATCCTCCTTGTCTTCTCCTTACCAATTGGAACTTCTGACTCCACCATTGCGGAGGCCCTGGCCTTACTCTGGCTTCGAAGATTCTACCCTAGCGGGAACATGGACCTGGTTGCCGAAGGCAACTCAAAAAACACTATTTATTGACTTGTTTACCTTGCTAACTGAAGATCTTCATACCTAAGAAGGCAAAGAAAGTGCATTGTTGATGGAAGGATACAAGGTTTGTGCTATGTCATTTGGTGCATTTGTTGCAACATGATTGGCGTGGTATTCATTGTTAAATCATCATGATTTCAATCATAGGATAATATACCTTGAGCAAGCGACTGCTGTTAAAATGTGGAGTGCCTCTGCTGTTTGGCACGGAATTCGTTTTTTTAGTCTTTTGACCATTTTCTTTTTGTTCATACTCTTTTTGCTCAGTTCTAGACATCTTCATGTGGCATTTGGCTTTGGGTTATACTTGTTACAACATACTTGGTTTACCTTCAGTTCTTTTGGGCTCGTTTGGATTACCTGATATATTGTGATTTACATGCAATATAGTGGTAAACCTGCCTGTAGTAGTACTTTCCTGGAAACCTCTCAGCCAGATTTGATCTAAGAAAATCCTTTCTTTCTGTGTCTTGGAATCAGCACAGTAGGTTCAAGCTGTGTGCAATTTGTAAAGCACGGATTGTGGTTCGATGGGAACAGAAGGCATCCTACTTTGTTGGCCAACATGCTATGATTTAGTAGTAATATTAGCAGCAGCAGCAGCAGCAGCAGCAGCTGCAGTAATAGATGAATAGTAGCAGTAGTAATAGCAGTAGCAGTAGCAGTGGCAGTGGCAGTGGCAGTGGCAGTGGCAGTGGCAGTGGCAGTGGCAGTGGCAGTGGCAGTGGCAGTGGCAGTGGCAGTGGCAGTGGCAGTGGCAGTAGCAGTAGCAGTAGCAGCAGTAGTAGCCGCAGTAGCAGTAGCAGTTGTAGTAGTAGTAATATCCATTACATAGGAAATCTCTCCGTTTTGAAATCTGGCAAACCTTGGCTTTGATTTCTTATATCTGTCAAATTCGAAGTTTCTTCCGAAATCTGATTTATTTAGTGGATATTAGGCAGAAATCATTGCATAAATATGCTGAATTTGGACTCAAATCGCACTTTCAAAGCTTGAGAATCTATAAAATGCAGAAAAAAGGGTGGTCGGATTTCTGTCCTTCCTTTTAAAATGGTTTGTGCACAGTACTCTGCTGGGCATTGTTGTGACTTGGCCCAGTACTATGAAGCTCGGGCGATTCAGCCCAGGTTTTATGGTATTCATGGAGTCTCTATAATATTCGGATACAATACTTGTCCGATTACTGTGCAGGGTGCACAAACCCCCTACCTCGGGGAGTCTTCCAGGCGCGGCAGTGACTCGCCCAAGTCTGAGTTAACTCAGGCAAGTTTTCATACACTGATTATCACAATAGAGGGGATTAAAATGGAGGGATGCCATATTAGTGAAGTAAGGCCTTTAGCCATACTTACCATATGAATATTAACTTTTTCATGGACAGGTTATTCCTCCTGGCGCTATATATGTCTTCAGCCATGCAGGTCTTATTCTTATCAATCAAATGCCAGATTAAACTTTGTTTACTTTCCCCTAGTTGGTGTTTCATTTAGGGTCTAAAATCAAGGAAACTTTTTAGGTTGGTCTTGAAAAAAGATCTTTCATTAATTGTTATTGCCATTAGTCCAAGCCGGCAAATGTGCTTTGGTCACTTTCTGTGTGACCTGATTGATGAGGATGAACTTGAGGACATGCAGGATTTAATGTAATTGTGGTTGGTTTTTTCTGTCTTAATGCTTATTGTCATGAGCATTGAGTGTTAGCAAAATACTTTGTGATTCCTTTTGTATTAAAACAGTTCATGGCTTGTTTGTGATTCTGATTCTGATGTGGTGAGCAGTGGAGTGCAACAATTGTTCATTTAAATTGATTATACGGCAGTTGTTGCTTATGCTTTAAATACATGGATATATTTCGTGCGTAAGTGTACATTGCTATAATTAAAGCTTATTTTGGTGTGAGCTGACATTCTTTACTCCAACTGGGGAGTTGGTCGTGTCTAATGAAATAACTTCATGGAAGAGGAAATATTCGTCGGAGTTCCTGTCCTTAAATACCAACATATGGTCTTGATAAAATAAAATATGAACAATTCAGAAACACCACTTAATTATTAATTACTATATATTATCGTGTTCTACATGATTTGGGCTGAAGCACGACTATCAATTTTTTATCTGATTAAGGACTTGGCGATTTCAATTAACATTATTGTTTCACCTGTCTAAATTCTGTCATTGATGTTTTGATAGTCTGTTTGGCTTCGCTGACTTTGTTCCATGACTATCTTTCTTGCACGAGAAGCTCAAAATAAGAATAGCTAGCAGCAAATTATTTAGCAATTGTTTCCAATAATATAGGGTGTATTATAAAAGGTATTGTTTGGAATTCTTTGATTGCGTGTCTGTTGAGATGGTGTCTTTTGGAAATGTTTTTCTGAAAGAGACTCCAGCTTCAGTCTCAGATTCAGATCAGCCCAAGAGTTATGTATGTTAGTGCTATCTATTTCTTTTGTGCTCGGTCCAAATCTAATAATCTCGCTCTCTCTGTAGCATTTGTGCTTCCCAAAATTGTGGGGTTACTGTCCCTCCCTTAGTGTTTGTTTGTGGAAGAGGGAGCTGCCAAAGTCTTCCACAGAGTATGGAAGCCTCTTGGAAGGGGTGGCTTCTATGAAATGTCAAAAGACGTTGCTTTTGTATGCTTATAGAAGCTGCGAGTTCCATCCTGCTGCTTCCACAAGCGTGCAAGCAACGCGAAGTCCGTTTGGTGGAAATTGGGTCTCCCACTATCCAAAATTCCCCCAAAACAAACACACCCTTAGGCTTTGGCATGGTGGTTGACATCCCCATTTGAACGCGGAAGGTTAGAGTTCGAAACCATAGTTTTGTACCAGAAAACCAGACAAGCTGACCTACAGTACTTTTATATAGCATGGATACTGGTACCAGTGCAGGAGTTTGTCTAAATGTACAAGTTGCGGGATTCTCTAAGCCTTAAAAAGGAGGATTCGTCCCTGTAAAAAAATTTGTGCATGTGCGAAAATACGACATTCACAAATGTGTATGCTGGTAGTTGGAATGGCAGCCCATCCACTCTGTTCAGAAAGCGGGTAGTGAAGATGAATTGCTTTGCATGGGAGTGGCTTCATACCAATGGCTGGCTGTCATGTTCATGAGGCAGTTCATCTCCACCGTCTTGAACAATGGATCTGTCACCTGTGTACTTTCCAATGTACGCAGTATCTCTGCAAATACGCTCCTCCCCACCACACATTTTAGGAGTACACGCTCTATTTCCAAAATTTTGGACCTAATATAGTTCCCTTGAGTTTCCTCTAATGTAGCACTTTTCTTTGACCAAAATACTTGTTCAACGTTTGTGCAATTAACTTAAGAGCAAGATCTGTGTTGAATATTAAATGAGCTTTTTTTCGTAATTTTTTGTATATAGTTTGTCAGAGAAAACCTTGAGGCTTAATATAATATAGTAAAAATTCGAAAATTTCAACCTGATTGGTTCAAGATAGTGCAACTCACTCAAGAGTACATTTGGGCTTTGTTAGCATACCTATAAACTTTCAAAATTCATGTGTAAGCATTATAGCTGAGATCCATTATATCTTGGTTCATCCTTGTTCATTATATCTTGCATTCTTCATTCTGGAATTTTGGATCCATTCCTCACTGGCATTGCATCAATTGCTCAGCTGAAGTAAAACAAAAGGTGGAAGCTAAGTTCAATGAGCTTGGTGATATGTGTGAAAGGGGAGAGATTGAACCTGTTGAAGCCTATAAGTTGTTCAAAGAGTTTGAGGATGAGGTGGTGCAAGAATATGCAGAGATAATGGCAGCTGAGGAGCCACCATTGGGTGAGGAAGAGGTAAATGAAAAGGATCGAAAAAGAAGTTTGGATGACCCACCTGGTGAAGGCCCTGTCTTAAGATGGCAAACACGTGTGGTCTTTGCTCCTGGTGGAGCTTGGCACCCCAAGAATCGTAAAGTAAAGCTTTCTGTCACAGTGAAAGAGCTTGGGCTTTCAAAACATGCTTATCGTCGACTTAGAGAAATTGTTGGCAAACGGTATCATCCAGGGAGGGATGAGCTTACAATCACCAGCGAGAGGTATCTCTCTCTCTCTCTCTATCTCAGTCTTGTGTGCACGTGTGAGCATACACAAACACGTGCAGGTGCATAATTCAACTGAAATGCAATCTATTCGATTTTGAATATTTTTTGTTAAAAAATTTGGACATGAAGTGTTCATGGTTTTGGTTTTTGATAGTTTGGGAGTTATTACTGCTTGATGCTCTAGATGCAGTTATATGAAAAGTTTAGAAGGTCTACTTTCTTCACTCTAAACTAGAGTTTTATTGCATTGTTTTTTTTTTTTCTGAAAACCTGTGCTGATTAAACTATATGGTGACATTGGCCTTAGGGCCATGGTAGACGGTTGTCAGTAGTCCTCGATGTTTCTAGAAATTGCATTTCGAGTATTCCTAGTCCTAGATGAGATTGTCAAACCTAACATACACCTACTTTCACTCTGAAAATAATTGGAGTTCTGAACCACTGCCTTCTTTTGACCTTCTGCCCATCTGTTAGCCTTGTCACATTATAAAAGAAGCTGCGGGATATATGTGTATACGTATTGTCTGTGCGCCGAGAGAGAGAGAAAGAGAGAGATTGACATACTTTGTTGGTTAATATCCAAAGTTACCCAAGGACAAGTTTATCTTATCTTGTGATCATGTGTTATAAAGTATAATAAGCAATGTCAATATATGTTTGCAGGTTTGAGCACAGGGAAGAGAACAGAAAGGACTGTCTGAGAACTTTGTATGCACTCATAGATGATGCACACAAAGCTGATAAACTTGTCGAGGATGCTCGAACTGGTTATGTCAAGGAGCGACTAAGAGCTAACCCTGCATTTATGGAGAGGTTACACAGACACACTGCATCACTGAGGGGGTCCCATCCCGTTTCCTTGTAGTTTGATTTTGCTTAGTGGCCATGAGGATCATTTTCAAAAAAGATCTGGTCTGGTTGTCTTGATGACAGCCCTGGGAATGATTCTTTTAGATCTTGATGCTCTCTCTCTCTCTCTCTCTCTCTCTCGATATTGTGAGTTATTGTGAATGGTCGGCTTTAGACATTCATCATACTCTGCTGATTTTTTAATAGAAAGATCACATAATTTATGAATGGAAAAAGTTTTGAAGGTTTCAACTTTCTACTGTAGAAAAAAGGCACGTCTCAAAAATCCATAGAAAAAGGTTGTTGGATACTGAAAAATGGTCTAATTGATCATCTCGACCATGGATGGACGTTAAAAAAAAAAAAAAAGATTTGAAAGTCTAAAAAATGTTTCATCTTGTAATATATCATCCAATTGTCCATTATCAAGATTTTCATGTTTGTAGATTTGTTGGATTTATACCGGTTTTGGAGTTCTAATTTTATAATTAGATGTGAAAAAGATTTACAGTTCATTGAAATTTCTGCCCCCAAAATTACGTCTTTTGATGAGCTTTGGAGGTGGGCGGCGCCTTACTTGGATTGATACACTTTTTACCAATTTTTCTCAGGAAACCTTTGGCTTTAGCTGATGAATTGCTTGACCTGGGAAAGTCCTGAATCAGTGGTCATTGATTTGATTTGATCTGTACTTACTCAACTCATGAACTATCCTATGTGCGCTAGAAGTGCATCAGCACTATCATTTGAGGGTAAGTAATCTTGAATGCAAATAAGCTCGAACCCATTACAACTCGGCCAAAAATGCGATGGAACTCGTACTGCTATAGAGGAATCCCAAGGCGAAAACATGATTGCAGATTAAATGAGGTCATATTCACAAAGCTTCAGGTCGGTGGCGCCACCGTCAAGTCGCCCTAGCCTACCCAAGGGAGTAAATAGACAGTACACTCCTGCAGGAGTATAAAATCTTTTGGCGATAACTAATAAATCAATTAGGGTTATGTTAGGGTGCTCATCAATTATCTAAAATGTAGGGTTTTGATGCATCCTCAAACACACTATTCGATGTATCCACCTTCCAAAATCCATCTCTAAAATAAATTTTCCATTTGAAACTTTACAGGAGCCACAATCATAAATTTAAAAAGAAATAGATTATGATTATTAAGACTGCCCTAACTTTTATATCTTGGCCCATTCATTTTAGGATGGGCTTTCTATGAGTCGGCCGACTCATACGTACATATGCGGCTCCCCTCTAAAATCTTCTCATCTAATTTTTCTCAGAAATTCATCATCTAGCCAAGGTGATCATGAATATGAAAAGAAATAGATTTAAAAATTAAAAGTAGAACTTTTTGGATATTTTTTGGTACTATGGAATCTATGGAGTGTCCATCTTTATTATTGACGTTTGTGAGTTAGCGGGGGCTGACTCAACGCAACACTTTTCCTTCATTTTAATTCTTTAAAGGTCATAATCTAAGCTTTTTTTTTAGGGAAAAGTTTATACAAAGCTGAGGCTCTAAACGATCAAATTGGAGCTTATCACAAAATTTTTACTAGAGGAGGTTGTTTTGATGTCCAAATATCCTCAAAAAGATCATTTCGACATTAATATATATGGACGAGAGAAAAAAAAAGGATTTCAAGTTTTGGAAAGAATATATTTTGTAACACAGTTTTGGACCGTCAATTTTAAAGATTTTCAAATTTTCATAGCTATGTTGATCTATACTATTTTTTAAGCTTTAAACTTTATAAATAAAGATGAAAATATATTTTCAGGCTATCACAAAAATTTCCAGTCTTGAAACCACATTTCTCGCCACTATTTAAAGGTAGGCTCTAATTTGATTGTTTAGAACCTAGGCTCTATACAAACCACACCCATTTTTTTAAGGAAAAGTTTATATAAGGTTGCAAGCTTAAAATATTAAATTCAGGTGTACTCCAAAAATTCATTGAAAAAACACTATTTTAATATTGAAAAACTCTCTAATTGATCATCCCAACATTAATATGTATGAATATGGAAAACAAAAAAGATTTTGAGTCCCAAAAATAGTGCATCTTGAAACATATTATTTGAACGGTCCATTTTCAAAAAATTTATGTGTTTATAGATCTATATGATTAAAACCATTTTTGGAGTTCAAAATTTTATAATTAGAGACAAAAATAGATTCTCAAGCCATCCTAAAAATTTTGATCTAATAATAAAATTTGGAGGTATGTTTTATTTTGATTTTTTAAGGTTGCAACATTATGCAAACCACGCCCTTTTTTTATAGGGAAGGTTCTATGCTTCCCCTACAACATAGAAGTTATCTCCTCTCCCTACCATCCAACCGTCCAATTTTGATCAAGAGAGCCACTCACCGTTTGATCTTAGATCGGAAGTCTCAAATTATTTTATTTTTAGTTTTTTTTATACAAATTGTATGGATATGAAATTTGGCACGTGCCATCTTCTCATTGAGGCGCACCTATTAAAAAAATATAAAAAATAATTTTTCGATAAAATATAATGATCAAAATACCCCTTGAAGCTTCAGGGGTATTTTGGTCATTTTATTTTATTGAAAATATTTTTTTTATATTTTTCGCTAGTACGAGTTTAATAGAAGAATGTGCTTCCAAACTTTGGTGTCAAAATAGTTTATAAAAAAAATTTAAAATAAAATAGTATAGAGATGTAATATTGTGATTAAGGCAATCTTAACCCTCCTGGACTGTTGGATAAAGGGAGAGGATAGAACTTCTATATAGGAGAAGCATGGAGTAGTAGAAAGCTTGCCCTTTTTTATAACTCCAATTCATGTATATAAGGTGGAACTATATTTGCACTGATTTAGGATCTAAAAGTCTTTGAAAACTGGGGGGAGCAAGTATTGGTGAACTCGTAAAAAACTTCGTTGTCTCAGCTAGGAAATTAACAAGTTTACATAAAAGACAAAATTTGCAAAGGAAAAAGCTTATATAAGGTTGCACCTTAAAATGTAGAGCACCTTTAAAATCCTTCAAACAAGTTATTTCGATGTTGGAAAAACGTCTAATTTCTCATTTCGACGTTGAAATGTAAAGATATATAGGTTGTTTTTTTTTTCAAGTCTTAGAAATAATACATATTGCAACATAGTATCTGAACCATCCATTTTCAAAATTTTTAAGTGTTTATAAATCTGATTAATTTGAATTATTTTTAAATTTAATATTTTATAATTATAGATATTCTCACACCATCATAAAAAATTTTGACATTAAAATTGCATCACAAGGCCAATTTTAAGAATGCACTAAAATGCTCCAATAATGATGACAACGTAAATGGCCATAATGATTATAATAAGATGTTTGTTTCTCTCATGAGAAAGACGGTAGACTGCATGAACTCCCTTCTTGTGGGCCAAGAGAGAGTGGACTACATAAGCTGCCTTTCTTTGGCTTTGTAGAGAGGATAAATCGAAGTAATCCACATATTAATAGTCATATAATTAAAAGCGTATATACCATGCTCCCAGGGGAGCAAAGAGCAAATTGTACATCAGCTCCAAATGATATTGCTCATCTAAAATTCTCATATTTACTTTAGATGTATAGTAGTGTAGGCAATGTTGTCGAATTCGCTTTGCTTCACCTCCTTCAAATTTTAAGCTTAGATCGAAAAAAAGCAAAGCCTAATATTACCGCTTCGATGATATTTCATCCACTTCGGATCTACTTCGAGTCAATTCGCACGAAGCTTCTAAGCAAACAAATATCTACGTAAAAGCATTTTCTTATTTTTTTAAAACAATTTATTTTAAACGTTTTCATCATTTTTATATACAAATATCTAATTAGTTACGAAACCTTCCCCCAAATTGACCAAAACACCAAATTGCTTCTTTTTTTCTCATCAAACATGTAAAAAACTTCGAAACGAATCTAACAACATTGATTATAAGAATTAATTTTGTTTGGAAATTCAGACTCACTCCCCCTCCATATATCTCGTCCTTTTGCATCTCCCAAAAAATTGAAAATACATCACTCTCTACCTTTTATCTCTTTCGTATCACCTCTTACGCCTGACCATATTAATTTTAAGAAAAATAATAAAATGAGACCATTTAACTTTATTACAAGATAGTCGCAACTAATCTTGTTGACCATTAGATGTGAAATTGAGTGGCTGCATTATTCCAAGTCAATCTCACTCGCTCTCACATAAAGATGGGAACATGAACAACATCCAGTAATGAGAAATTTTCCTCTACATTCTATCTAACAATGGCGTCCTTTCTTATTTATACGACATGTGTACATTAATTTAGCCGCAAATAGGCTGAAAAACTCAAACAGGGACATTATTCAGTTAAAAATTTCCAAATTTTTAAATCCCCATTTCCATCACCAGTAAAAAACAAACCACCACTTCCAACTTGGATGGCCCTGACCTCCTCTTTGGAGAACAACCTCCCCCTCTCATTGAACCTGAAAACAAAAAGAAAACCCTTCTAATCAAATACAAATTAGAAACAATAGAGAACATATATCCATTTACACAAGGAAAGAAAGCCACAGGTACCCAAAAGTAATACTCTATATCGCTAGAATCAAGTTCAAAGTCCAACAGTAGCTCTCTCTCTCTCTCAAGTAAATTAAGATTTCATTATGAACCTCTCTCTCTCTCTCAAATCAATTAGGATTTCAATATGGAAAGGAACCAAGTTTACCAGTAGCTCTCCCTCTCTCTCTCTCTCTCTCTCTCTCTCTCTCTCTCTACTACTACTATATATAGTAACTTAAAACGTTAAACGTAACGTAACGTACGTACGTAGTAGTACGTCGTACTCTCTCTACTTCTTCGTTCTTCGT